TAACAGGATACAAAAATCCTCCTTTGCCATCGTTGATTTTTATCTATCTAATGTCATTACGTTGACAGCTAATCGATATAAAATAAAATATGCTAGCAAGCGCCGTCTGCCGTTTAAAACGTGAAACGGACAACATTTTTTCGACAAAACGCCGTCTGTGTTTAAAACGTGAAACGGACAACATTTTCGATGTTAAAATTTTTGACATTTCAACTTCACATCGAGATATCTTCCTTCGTAGGGTACGTAGACAATAAAAACATATTTATAATATAATTTAAACACTAAAACTAAATTACGGATATATAAAAGTTGATAAATTCAGCCATTTATTGTGAGATCCGATAATCTCGGGTACACGGAACTCATCGACTCGCGTAAAGATACATGTGCGGTCTCGCGCTTCGCGTTCACTTGGCGCGAGATACTACCGTGTCTCTTGATAAATAAGCGTGTTAAAGGTTATTTAATATCAAAGTGTATAATTTAATTTAAACCTTCCCCACATTCCAACCGTCATCTCCGAGATCGCACTCGGTCCATATCCCAGGCTATAAGGATTGAGTTCCTTGGCCTAAATTTAAAAGACCAACGGACGTACGGTTCGGGATAGGTGTCATAGTGTGCCGTATACAAGTGTTATAATATGGCACACTGACCTAATTCCGTACCCTTTTTTGTGCGTCCGACTGTCTTTCGTAACCCTCCGCAGGGCGAGACGATCGGGAAACACATCTAGTGTCAGTTACGTTCTTCCGAGGCCTCCTCCTTAACCTAGAACTTCCCAATAAATAAAGAAAAATCCTGAGGCTTGGATGTAACATAGTTATCACTTGCTGTTGTCCTTATTTCTTAATAATGCCACTTATACAACATGACGCAGTCGTTAATTGAAGAATAAGGCGGCGGGCAATAGCTACCAGAGTTAAAGTGGTGACTCAATTGAGGTTAGAAAGCCGTGTAAGGATAAAAGAAATTAAAAAATTGATATTTAGCTTACCAAATTTTATTAAAATGGATGCGAAGATTCCCGCACTACTGGATTTCAGTGGGAACATATCAGAAAATTATAAAAGATTCAAACAACGAATCAATATTTACATGACAGCAAATGACTTTCAAGAGAAGAGTGGTGAGGTTAAAATAGCAAATTTCTAAACACAATTGGTGACGAAGGAATTGATATATTTAATAACTTTAATCTCAGTGAAGCTGATCAGAGGAATTATGATGTTGTGGTCAAAAAGTTTGACGAATGTCTTCTTCTCAAGAAAAATATAATTTACGAGAGATTTCTATTCTATAGAAGGATACAAGAACCTAATGAGCCAGTTGATAACTTTGTGAAAGAACTAAAAAAGCTCGCACAAAATTATGAATTCATTGATGAGCAAGATATGATTCGAGACAGAATAGTATTAGCCCAAATAACAATATGTTATCCAAAAGGTTTCTAAAAGATATCTTATTTCTGAATCTGATAACTTAGAGAAACTTCTTAAAGATCACATAAAGATAACTGAATGTTATCTAATGCGTCGTTTTTTGAGAACAGAAAGATGTCACAAAAATGATATATAAAAGATTTCTTAAATTGGACATCTTTATGATTAACATATATATTCATATTTATGATGTCTTAAAGAAATCTGTTATATGTTAATATATAGATTTCTTTAAAAAGAGAGTTTACAGGTTATGTTTACAGGTTTGAATTAATTAATCTTGCCGTTCACTTCATCAGGGCGAGGAATGCACTGATACGTATCTATTAGCGATTTCGGCTGGGAAAATGAGTGTGCACTGGTGCATATTAAAATCGTTGTACACTGTTAATCTACCACCGCGGCAGTACACGGAT